TGCAGGCCTGCTCTTAGAGTATCATGTTTCCTAAATCAAAGAGTAAGAATAATAATTGACAACATCAGCCACACTAAAGTGGGAAGAAAATTGGCTCCAACTTGATACAATAGAAACATTCTTTTCCTTCTCAACTGCTTAACTATGGGAGCAAACACATCTGGAAGACTAACTCACAGTCCTCTCCCTAGACAATAGTGATAGATTGACCTTGACAGTCCTTGTAAATGAATTTGTAGAGTGGAAGAACAAGCAGCAGAGAGTTAGCTTAGACTGGTCCTTCACCAAAGTCAGTCAACCACAATGACACTCTCCCTGAACTGAATGTTAGCTGAGCTGTTTATAAGGAGCACTCAATCCCAGGGTCTGTTTTATCCTCATTTCATTACAGTTCCTCCCTCTCAACGGGCCTCATGGAGCACAATGCAAGCTCCTGTTCTTGACAGTAAGATGACAAAACCAGACCACTGAGCTGCAAGGCAGAGAGAAGTGCTCAGGACACACCCAAGTAGCTCTCTCCCAGACAGCCTCTGGATTACCAGCCTTTTCTCAGCCGTGCTTCCTTTAAACTCTGGATCTCTGCAGCACTAAAAGAGGAACACACACCTGTGTAAAGTGATATACCAAAGTAATCTTTCAATCACAAAGCCTGAAAAAGTTCCCTCCTTGAGGGAGGACTGTCAGCACAGCTGCTGGAGGATTCTGAGAATTGTAGTCCAAAGAATAATCAGTATTCTACCTATGCCAAAAAATACCCAACTGATTTAAAACAACTGCACTTTCTGGGCACATTGTGCATTCTCAATTGGGAGGGAGTACTTATGCCTTAGTAAACATGAAAATGATCGAAGAGCAAAGCTGCAATTCTATGCATTCTTATTTGGGAGTAAATCCTATGAACTGTGTTGTCTCAATGGACATATGTGGAGGATCACACTGAAAAATATATCAGCCAACTAGCACCAAAATTACATTTTATTTTGAACCTTTTACAAACAAATCCACAAGTGTCAAAGTTCTTTACTCTTGGCAGGTTAAGCCACAGACAGTTCAAAATCAATAGCCGTATTTTCCTGGGCACTGGGTTCCACATCAGATGCCAGGTGTGAGTACTGACTGCTTAGCTTTAATGACATCTTTGGCTAACAACCTATAACTTCGACCACAGGAGTTTGCTGTCACCTTATCTTTATTTTATAAATAAAAAGTAGAGATCAATAAATGCAGGGGAGGTGAAATGACATTTTTACCACCAAGCACCCTGATTCCTCCACTTGCAAATGTGGGGGTTTTTTTACACTGGAGCAAATGAAGATGGGCAGGGCATATAGCATGAACAAAAAAAGACAACCAATGGAAATGTCAACTAACGAATTGGATACTAAGAGATCACAAGCGGCCCTTGGGCATGCCTCATACTCAATGGGATGAACCCTATTTGGCTAGAAATTGAAAAGTAAAGCACAGGACATTTATTTTGGCAAATTGTAGCTCAGCTTTTCACACTTCAGTCTTTTGCCTTATTAATTAGCCACAATGGTGGTAGAAAAGATTAAAAACCAGATTAAAAAGTCACAGGGGAAGTGAATATTTCCTTTTGACCATTCTCCCTCATGTAGACATGATTTCAAATTGATTTTATATCCTACTTCGTATCATATACTTCAGATTACTATGACATGCTCTGTAAGGGGGTGGCTTTGAAGAGTATTTAAAAAACTTCAGCTGGTTCAAAGAACAATAGCCAGGTTATCAAGTGGAGCACACAGTTGTTGCAATAACTCCACTGGCAGTCTGTTTCTGGGCAATTCAAAGTCCTAGTTATCACCTTTAAATCTCTGTATGGCTCAAGTCCAACCCACCACACACACAAGGGCACTTGGTTGGAACCCAGGAGAGGGCCTTCTTGGTGGCTGATCCCAGGCTCTGGAACACCCTTCTGAGAGAAGTTAGAACTTTTTAGCATTTTGTATTTACAGCCAGCCTTGCTATATTTCTGCAGGTAGGTTGAAACTTTTTAGTATTTTCTATTTACAGCCAGCCCTCAACACCCACAGATTCTGCATCCATGAATTTAACCATCAACTGCTTGATAGATAGATAGATAGATAGATAGAGAATCATAGAGTTGGAAGAGACCACATAGGCCATCTATTCTAACCCCCTGTCATGCAAGAAAAGCACAATCAAAGTACCCCTGACAGATGGTCATCCAGCCTCTGTTTAAAAGCTTCTAAGGATAGACAGATAGACAAACAAACAGACATTATAAAAGGTCCTGCAAATAAGCCTTGATTTAGCAATTTTATATAAGGGACAGCATTTTTCTACACTATTGTATAAAACAGGACTTGAGTATCCACGGATTTCTGCATTTATGCAGGGGTCATGGAACCAAACACAAACAGATATGAATGGTCCTCTGCATTTATTTATTTCAGCAAGGGCTGAATGTTTAAGATGACTGGGTCCTGTAGAGCTCATTATATGGGTATTAGATACTGTATATTATTTATGGCTATTATATAATATGGCTATAAGCTGCCCTGAGTCCCTTTGGAGAGTTAGGGTTAAAAATAAATAATCACCATCATCACCATCATCATCATTATAGGGAAAAGGCAGAACTACTTAATGCCTTCTTTGCCTCGGTCTTCTCACAAAAAGAGAGTCTTCAACCTCAGCAAGATGGAGTGGATGAGGGATTGGAGGACATCCAACCCCAAATTGGGAAAGAAGTCATCCAGGAATACCTGGCCGCTCTTAATGAGTTCAAGTCCCCAGGGCCAGATCAACTACACCCAGAGTATTGAAGGAACTAGCGGAAGTCATTTCGGAACCATTGGCAACCATCTTTGAGAGTTCTTGGAGAACGGGAGAAGTTCCAGCAGATTGGAGGAGGGCCAATGTGGTCCCAATCTTCAAGAAGGGAAAAAAGGATGACCCAAACAACTACCGTCCGGTCAGCCTCACGTCGATACCGGCAAGATTCTGGAAAAGATTGTTAAGGAAGCGGTCTGCAAACACTTAGAAACAAATGCAGTCATCGCTAATAGTCAACATGGATTTATCAAAAACAAGTCATGCCAGACTAATCTGATCTCTTTCTTCGATAGAGCTACAGCTGGGTAGATGCGGGGAATGCCGTGGATGTAGCGTACCTGGATTTCAGTAAGGCCTTCGACAAGGTCCCCCATGACCTTCTGGCAAGGAAACTAGTCCAATGTGGGCTAGGGCAAAACTACGGTGAGGTGGATCTGTAATTGGTTAAGTGGACGAACACAGAGAGTGCTCACTAATGCTTCCTCTTCATCTTGGAAAGAAGTGACAAGTGGAGTGCCGCAGGGTTCCGTCCTGGGCCCGGTCCTGTTCAACATCTTTATTAATGACTTAGATGAAGGGCTAGAAGGCATGATCATCAAGTTTGCAGACGACACCAAATTGGGAGGGATAGCCAATACTCCAGAGGACAGGAGCAGGATTCAAAATGATCTTGACAGATTAGAGAGATGGGCCAAAACTAACAAAATGAAGTTCAACAGTGACACATGCAAGATACTCCACTTAGGCAGAAAAAATGAAATGCAAAGATACAGAATGGGGGACAATGCCTGGCTCGAGCAGTACGTGTGAAAAAGATCTTGGAGTCCTCGTGGACAACAAATTAAACATGAGCCAACAATGTGATGTGGCGGCAAAAAAAGCCAATGGGATTTTGGCCTGCATCAATAGGAGCATAGTGTCTAGATCTAAGGAAGTAATGCTACCCCTCTATTCTGCTTTGGTTAGACCACATCTGGAATATTGTGTCCGATTCTGGGCACCACAATTCAAGAGAGATATTGACAAGCTGGAATGTGTCCAGAGGAGGGCGACTAAAATGATCAAGGGTCTGGAGAACAAGCCCTATGAGGAGCGGCTTAAGGGAACTGGGCATGTTTAGCCTGAAGAAGAGAAGGCTGAAGGAGATATGATAGCCATGTATAAATATGTGAGAGGAAGCCACAGGGAGGAGGGAGCAAGCTTGTTTTCTGCTTCCCTGGAGACTAGGACGCGGAACAATGGCTTCAAACTACAAGAGAGGAGATTCCATCTGAACATGAGGAAAAACTTCCTGACTGTGAGAACCGTTCAGCAGTGGAACTCTCTGCCCCGGAGTGTGGTGGAGGCTCCTTCTTTGGAAGCTTTTAACAGAGGCTGGATGGCCATCTGTCAGGGGTGATTTGAATGCAATATTCCTGCTTCTTGGCAGGGGTTGGACTGGATGGCCCAAGAGTTCTCTTCCAACTCTTTGATTCTATGATTCTATGATTATATTTACTTGCCACTTTTAATTTTATGGATGAGTTAATAGTATTTTTAACTTTTGTATTTGACTTTTTAAAAAGTTTTACTTTAGCAAGATACCTTTAGTTTTAGACTGGAAAAGAATGGTAGTGATAGTGAGGAGGAGGAGGGCAACACTGTTATCATCATTATCATGTGTTACCGTGACCATTATTCCCTTTGGAGGAGCTTTAATAAACATCCAGAGCTGGATAAGGAGAGTGTTTAAGCTTTATAGCTTTCCCCTTTGAAACAACTCAGGCAGAAGAAAAAGAGAATGAGATGTTACACAGTAGCCAATTTTAAATATTGGAAGAGATGACAAGTAGAAGCTGTGGCTTGTTTTCTGCTTCTACAGAGGCTAGAATATGAATATGAATAATAGATTTAAATTACAGGAAAACAGATTCCACTTAACATTAGAAAGAACATCTTTAGTGTAAAAACTTTTTAACCCTCTGTCTCAAGAGGGTGACAAACACACCACCTCTCCTTCTTTGGAAGTCTTAAAACAGAGGTTGGCTGGACATCTTTATAGAGGCTTTAGTTTTGTATTCCTGCATGGCAGGGAGTGGGACTAGATGGCCCTTCCAACTCTAAGATTCTATGAAACCACTGGTGCAAAAAAGAAAGGAATTCAACAGAGCATTTCTCCAAACAATCAGGCTGCTCACCTCTATCGTGGGATCATATTCATCAACAAAATGGTTCTGGATTAGCTGAATGGTCAAAGCACTCTTCCCCACACCTCCAGCACCAACCACCACCAGCTTGTACTCTGTCATCTTCTGGCCAGTCCCACCTCAGGGACCCCTCACAACACAGAGACCTGAAAGAAAAGAGAAAAAAAATTAACAACCCTAGAGGTTGGGTGAAACCTTTCTCCTCACAACCATCTGTCATTAATGCCACCTGACAACACAGGGCAATAACAGGTTCATATTATAGCATTGCAAGTGCCATTGGGAGAAAGTAGGAACAACACCTTGAAGACACCAGGTTCTTCTGCTGATGCAAAACACCAGCCAGTTACGAACTGTTTTCATTACATAGAAATGGAAAGCCCTCAACACTGAGAAGCACCAAAGGGGATTACAGCCCTCTTAAGGCATTGTGGAAAAACTACAATGAGCAGGTAAAGGGAAGCACACACATGAAACAGGAAAGGGATTGATGCCATTTATTATTCATACCCAATTAATCATCATCAGTGGTTTACATTAAAATATATTGCCAAGTACGGGAGCAATCGGTAGGGAGAGGAATCTGAACAGGATTAAACTCTCAGCTCAGTGGAGTCTCCCCTCACACATGCACTTACACACACTGTCTCACATAGATGGTGCATAGAAGATAAATATTATAAAACTCTTTGTGGAAAAATTAAACTACTGCTAGTGAAACTGGGAAGTCTGTTCTTCTATGTATCATGATGACAGAATCCATTCCTTCTCTGAAATGAAGAACTGGTCAGAAACCAGTTATTTACATGAAATAGATTTCTTTAGACTTTTTATTTTGAAATTATGTTTTTGAAAAAAGCTCAAACTTGGGTAACCTGCTTTGGCTCCACGGTCTCCTGGCCTTGCACACATTTGTAGACAACATGGCATAAGAAGCAAAGAAATCAGAAAGTGGTATCCACTCCAGGCAATGAGGCATTCAGTGTGCTTTCGCATTTAGCCTGAGTTATGCAATGTGCTGAATCTAATGATACAGGGGTTCATCAGTCTACTACTAATATGGAAACCACCAGCTGTCAGGCACAACCCATCACAGTATCTGTAGTTAAAGAGTACGTAGGGGGAAAAATCCAACAAAAATCCCCTGCTATCACTCTCAGAGTTGGTGCTGCTGGGTCATCATACAAAGGTGCAGTACGAGCCAGGACCAAACTTGATTGTTCTTTGTAAGAGAAAGCATGCTGCCTGAACTGGCCCTTATTTTTAAAAGTCTTGAAAATGTTTTCCAGGGGCAGAAGAAAATGATTAACTATTAAATCAACAGGCACAAAGACCAAATAGCCAAATAAATTAGTGGCATTAACGTCGAACATAGGGAGTGAGTGAGTTCAACAGCCAGGTGTCTTTGATTACCTCCTTCTTTTATCTTTTCAATTTTTTAAAATTTATATTCCTAGCCCCACCACATGGCCCTGGTGAAACCTCAGGGCAGCTGAAAGAACCAACAGGAAAGAACTGTAGCAATGAGAAACAATATAATGCTACGACTTACTTTAACTTCAGACATAATAGAGCAGCAGAGATCACAGAAGTTCAGTTCAAAAGAGTAAGGTTACTTAAATAATGTTGCAAGCAGTGAAATTCCTTGTGGGGCCCAGTTGGGGATGGTGGGGGTCATACTTCTGATTAGAATTGGATTGTCCAGAATGCAATTGGAAGGCCATAGGTTCTTCAGCTGTACACAAAGACAAAGAACCATAAGGTTGTTGTTGTGTGCCTTCAAGTAATTTCCAACTTATGGTAGTGCAAATATATCATGAGGTTTGTTCAGAGGGGTTTTCCTTTAATCTTCATCTGAGGTTGAGTGTGACTTGGTCATGTCAGAGCAGGCATTTGAACCCTAGTCTCCAGAGCCTACTCAAAGCAACTTAAGGCTTTAGCAGAGCTGCCAGATCCCTTCTTTTCTCAGGCTAATTCTTAAGTAAAGGTAAAGGTTTCCCCTTGACATTAAGACTAATCATGTCTGACTCTGGGAGGTGGTGCTCATCTCCATTTCTAAGCCGAAGAACCGCCATTGTCCATAGACGCCTCCAAGGTCATGTGGCCGGCATGACTGCATGGAGTGCCGTTACTTCTTACACTAAAGTTAATATTAAATAAGGGGAACATAAGAAGTCCACTTATAATCCCCACACGTTGGTAGGGCACTGGAGGAAGCAAAAACTATGGCCCATTTCCCCCCCTAGTATAACCAGCAAAATGTCCCTCTCCTCCAAACCCAACTCAGCAGATGATAGGTATTATCATAATATTAAATTCGGCAGCCTTGGAACAAGAGGCCAAGCAGAGACTTTAAAAAAAAAAAAAAAAAAAACTAAATTAAACAAGATGATTCAAATGCAAAATGAACCCAACAATTATTTCTGTCTTTTCCAGCTGCCAAAAGGTCAGTGAAACAATCAGCAGTTGACACTCTTGAGGTTAGGAGTGACTCCCGGCTCCTTTGCTTTTGTGTTGCTAATGGGCTTGAAATTTTATTATTTGCCTTTTACTGCCCTTTGTCCCTGGTGTCCAGATGGTCTTGGAAAGGAGTGGCCTTTGCTGCACTGAGCTCCTTCCAGACCATCTGAACTAACAACAGAATGTAAACCTGTGACTCCAACAATGTTGATTTTTTCCCTTCTGTATGATTTTTTTTATATTGTTTGATCAAGGAAACAGTGAAGCCTTAAAAATTTACACAATGTATTTTGTGCATTTTGTTTGGACAATAAAGATATCGCTGTTTTGTGGACCTTGGATTGTGCTCTATCCTGCTCCCAGTGTCCTCCAAATGTATCTCTTCTCTCACACTGGTTAAAGATATTCACAAAAATGCACGCGTCTTTGTTTGCTAAGGCTCAGTTGCAATGGGGAGAGACGTTTTAAATAAATAAGTAAAAAGAAAGTGTGTAATTTAATCCTACATAGCTTCACTGAGGTTCACTCTCAGTTTAATATTTCACCAGGTTTTAAGACAAGAGAGGCTTTCTCAATTATTCAGCATAAGGAAACTCAAAGTCAGCCATGGTAACATGCAGCAGGATCTTGCCGGGCCTTTCCATAGGGAACATGGTGATAATGGTGGTTTTACATGGCGGACCATTTCTAGAAGATGGCAGTGAGGCATTTCTGCTCAAGGCATGCCATTTATGTTATAGGGCCATTCAGGGTCCCATGTTATGTGTCCTACTTTTTATTCCAGGTGATGTGGGACTGCAACTTCCAGCACTCCTCAACACTGGTTGTGCTGGGTACGGATGAGGGATATCATAGCCCATCAATATCAGGAGGATGGAAAGATTCCTACTCTTGAGGTAGATGGTTTCGAATGCAGGGAAGTGGTGTTTTCAATTATGATTGAAGGACAGGCTCATACCTTAGGAGACCTGCTAGATGCAGTTATCTCATTCGTCTCCAGTTGGTCTTTCCAACATGGAGCACCTTCTACCAGCTTTGGTATGTTCACCAGCCTTCATTTTTTTCTGAACAGGGATAGTTTGGCTACAGTTATCCACAGATATCTAAAATTTTGAGATGTTTTAAAGCCCACAAAACCCCAAGAAATTTTCAGAAAAAAATACCATACTAGCACCTTTTACAGTTTAAATCTCTTTATCACTTCAGAAACATGAAATGCATTATATATAATTTGGTTAGATATAAAATATATTTGGAATATTAAAATGAATTTAATTTAACAGTAATTACAAACTAGATTTACTTCATATCAATGTTTATTTTGTTGTTACAAATGGAGCTACATGGTCTTGAATGTTAAAGAGTATCTTTGGTTTTGAGAACTGATTAGGAGAAGGCAAAAATAATAAGAACAGAAGAAACTGCTCACATTAATAATACAAAGAAAACTATTTTGTTCCCTATAGTTCTCTATAATGTCAAGCAGACATAAAGTAATCACTTCCACAAAAAGAACTTACAAAAGGAAATCAAGGCCATGAATTGCAATGACTTGATACAGATACAGAATATATGCGTTTATATATATGCCTTCAAATTACTAGCTGACATATAATGATCCCATAAATTTCATAGGGGTTTCTTAGGCAAGGTATACTCAAAATAGTTTTTCCAGTTCTTTCCTCTGAAATATTGCCTACAGCACCTAGTATTCATTGGTAGTCTCCCATCCTAGCACTAATCAGAACTTTACTCTCCTTTTAGTTTTTACATAGTCCTCCATAACATCCTTCCTGTTGATTAGTCATTAGGAATAATTGGGGGGGGGGGGGTGGAATATATGAATACCTTGTGATCAACATTTTATATGTCATTCTAAAAGATTCCATATTTTCTCCCATTTTTCTTCAGGAAAAGAGGCTTTGAACAGGAAAAAAATGTTTTGTAGGGGTTTTTTTCCAAGCCTTTATATTTCTGGAAAGTCATGTTCCAATACAATTCCAGCTGATTTCCTATAATGTACCATATAAATGGCATTGCTTTTTGAGATGGTTAAAAGCTTCTATTAGTACTAAAACTGGCTGAAAAGCAGCTAAAATATTTTAAAAACCAAACCAGAAACCATTTAACACCAAAATGCATCACTGCAGTGCCCATCTTCTTCTTGAAAAGGCTTGGGACCATATCATCTTGCTCTGATTCAAGACCTTTTTCTGAAGGCCAGCGTATTGGCAGTACTTCATGCAACTTAAAAAGCCCCTTCTACACTGCCATATAATCCCAAATTATCTGCTTTGAAGTGGATTATATGGCAGTTTAGACTCATTTAATACAGGTCAAAACAGATAATCTGGGATCAGATGTTGAATTATATGGCAGTGTAGATCCACCCTAAGATAAAGTCTTCTCTATAAGATCATCTTGGTTTCAAAAACCCTCCCTAAAGAAAAACCTGTTGAACCAATTTATTATCTTTGGGATATTAGGTTAGGGCGCATCTCTTCTCAATTTCTCAGTGGTATTTCTATTTTGCACAGATATGATTGCTTTCATGCCAGCTACACTCACATTTTTATTAACGACAATCTGTTCTTCTTCAGTACCAAAAGGCCAAATCATGTATCCAGGGTTGGAAAAACATATCACAAGACAAGGGCTGTTTTCAATATAAAGAATTATCTGGGTT